TGGCTTAAAACAACACACAATTATTATCTTACAGTTCTGTACTTGTGAATCTTGTGGCCACTCAGCTGGGTTCTCTGCCAAATGACTCACACTCCAGGCATCAACGACCCTGCATCTTACTGGGAGGCTTTGGGGAAGAATTCACTGCTAAGCTTATCCAAGTTGGTGGCAGAATCCAGTCCCTTTTGGTTGCAGGGCTTAATTCCCTGTTTTAGTTGGTTATTACCTGGGGTCAGTCTCAAGAACCTAAAGCCATCTTCTATTCCCTGCCATGTTGCTCTTCTGTATTTAAAGCCAGCAATGCAGAATCTTCACATCAATTTCCTCTCACACTCACATCTTTTTTTCTCAGCAGAACAAGGTCCACATCATTGGATTAGGCCCAATCCTAACCCAGTTTTCTCCAGTAGAGCATAGCATAATCATGGAATGACCATCCCATCACATTTACAAGTCCTCCTACACTCAAGGGAGGAAGTGGTGATGCAGGGCACGTTCAACAGGAATAGACATCTAGGAGGCATTGGGTGGTGCCAGGATGAAACTGCAGCTCGGGTGGTTCATGTACTGAAATGTATCAGATATTTAAAATTTTTTATCTAATAACTTTGTTTCCTGGATTTTGTGGTTATCACCTATGTTCCTTGTTTCTTTTGCTCTTGGTTTTCCATCATGACCTATCTTATATCTTTGATGATTATAAACTGTATGTTGAATATGATATATGACAAATTATAAAGATACTTTGAAGTTCTGAAAAATGCTAGTTTCCTCCATGAAGTTTTCCTTTGGCTTCTTTTAGGAAATGAGATTTGGATCATTAGCAATCCCAATTCCATTTATTTTTCAGAATTTTAAAGGCTTCAGGGCTGAACTTGGTCTCCATGTGTACAGGTCCATTTTGGGTTCTTTCTTGCTCCTAGGGTAGAGCTGCCAGAATTTTAGCCAAAGCTATGATATTTTCAGATACCTAGGTATTATCAGATGTCTCCTCATTCTTGGATCTTTAAAATTTAATTTTTGTTCCCTTAGCCACGTGATTCTGAGTAAAGCTCTTTTCAGCTTCTCAAATGGTATTGTCTTGGGTGTGGGAAAGTGGACCTAAAAGCCAGTCTTGGCCACTTTCTGTCCTGAAAGTTGATCCCATAATGAATTACTACCATGGTACTCTCTGATGCCTTCAGAGAGATTGAAAAATTTTTTGTTTAGCTCTTCCAGTTATTTGAGCAAGGGTTTGAGATGAAACAACTTATTCCACCATTCCAGAAGCTGAAATAGAACTTCAAAATAGTGGAGACACATTAGGCTAAACTTTGAAAGTCAGCGGAGTTGGATTTCTACTTCATATTAAAAACCGAAAAAGATTTCATATGAATGAAATATAAGAAATTTAAAAACTGCATTACAAGAGCACAGAAAGTGTAGGAAAATATGTATATAATGTTAAAGGATTCACAAACCATTGGTTATAATTTGATATGCAAATTTTAAGACCTCTGGGTGATACAAGATATTAACAAACTTATAAAAGAAACACCCAAATAGGAAAAATATTTACAGCATCTAACTAGAAGAAGGCTTAGTCTCCATTTGTGTTTAAAGTGCTCCTAACATTTATAAATATATAAAGATATACAGTGGAGATGAAGAGGAAACCTACAAAAGAATAAATTGCTAGTTAATATGTGAGATGTTTAACCTTAATTGTAGCTAAACAATTACTACTACTAGAGTGGAAAATGACATATTTGACAATAATACTAGGAGGATTTAGAGGGATCTTTTGTCAGAGTATGTACTGCTGTAGGTTTGGGGAAGAAACTTTGTCAATATGCATTAAGATTTAAAATGCAAATTTGGTTTTATTCTAGAAAAAATTAAAATATTAAAATTAAAGTATAACAGTTACAGAATAGCATGCAAAACATAAATGTATAGTTTAGTAACTATCATAAATCAAATACTCATGTAACTTGTGAAGTTTACGTCAAGGACTCTATGCTTCAGAAACATCACCCAAGACAAGGAAATCAAATTGTATTTCTTTTAGCCCTGCTTGAATTTTTTATTTAACTTTCTTAAAAGTTACTTTTGATAACATTTCAACATATTCATAGCCTGCTCTGGATAGTTAAGTAAGGAGCACAGCATGTTCTTGGGAACTAAAATTACAGGGGCTCCAGCAGAGGCGTCTCCCCTGGAGCTGCAGCAGTGATGGAATAACTTCACAAGTGTGGGACAGGCTTGTGACACCCTCTGAGAGGACAGTCCCCAGGTGTGGCTCTTGGATGAAGAGAGCGGCTAGAAACATTGGGAGGGCCTGTGAATGTAGAAGCCCGCAATGGCAGGAGATTCAGAAGTTCCCTAAGGACGTTTCTGGGAGAATGCCCTTCTGTCTGGGCACATTGGAAGACTTTAACATTTGCATTTAATGGAAGCACAGCCTTATTTATACTTATAAGCTACTGAAGCCTCGAAATGTGGTTTTCTTGATTTTTGTCATTACTGTTCAAAATAGGAAGGAAATCAGTACTCTCTCAGACAATGAGGAAAATGAGGTCAATATGTGCATGGACTGTACATATCAGAATGTTCCATATCTTTTACATTACTCCTGTGAACTCTGTCCTTTGATCATGCCCAAAATGTACCCCGGGGATTTCCCAGGGTCTTCCTGTCAGGTACAGGGCCATTAATCTAGTCCTCTAGGCCTCAGCCAGAAAGAAACAGAAGGTCCAGGGTGGGCTACAGGGCTAGCATCATCACAAGTTTTTTATACACTAAATGCTGAGCAGAAAGCCTATTTCATCAGGCTATTGGAGGACAAAGTATACAGAACAGAAGTTTTGAGGTATTTTAGTGCATTCAAAATAGTTTTTCTATTTAGAAGTTCATTTTGGTTTTAATGGTGAAATTTAAATTGGTTAAAATTTAAAACCTTAATGACCACCCATCCCTGGAATTGCTCCTTCTATTTTGATGTATGTTGCACAGGTTCCTGAGCCAATAGTGATAATGGGTTTTGCTCTATGGAAACCCCAAATCATGCTGCTCCTCCCCCGTTCACCTTTCACCTGGAAAATGAACAAAGTCAATGCTGTGGTCTGTGGATAAAATGGCCTTTGTTTTATTTCTATGATTCTGTTTTGGAAAGGTATTTAAATAAGATTACAGGCTGGGGATTTAGCTCAGTGGTTGCACTGCTTGCCTCACAAATGCAAGGTCCCAAGTTCGATCCCCAGTACCCGCCCCGCCCCCAAAAAAGCGGATATTTAGGCCAACTCCTGAGAATCCAGTTGGGAGAGGTCATTTCCAGAACTTTCAATGCTGTTATCAGACAACAGACGAAGCCTGTGCAAATGGTCTTTGTTTTATTGACATTATTTTGTTCTGGAAAAGTATGTGGATAAAACTGAATACTCTAGAGAAAGGGAAATATATTATAACTGTTTTATGTCTCAGTTATTGTTCTATGCAAAACTTGTAAGTATACTGGCTGTTGTATAACTGGTAGATTGATGATGTGAACATGTCCCAGATAAGACAGTTCATAGCACTTACCTAAGAATTTCTTCAACTCACACATAAATGTTGGGTTGTGGGGTGCTATAGAGGCTCACAAGAGCTCAGTGAGACTCTTGTTCACAATTACAATTAAAAACCATAGACCTACAAATTAATATAGGTATACAGAGGAATGTTTTTATTTATTTACTTCATACTGCTTGGGATTCAATCCAGGGCCTTCTCACTAGGCTATATCCTCAGACTTTAAACATTTTTTTTATTTTAAGACAGGGTCTTGCTAATTTGCCCAGGCTGGGCTTGAACCTGAATTCCTCCTGTCTCAGCTTCCCAGAGGGCTGGGAAGAAGCATGCTTTTCTAATGAACCTTTCCTTGGTCAGTGAAAGGAGACTGGCAGACGCTGGCCTTAGGCCTTCATTTACATCCATTAGAAGACAGTGATAATGAATGCAGAACTGGATGAGGTGCAATGTGCCGAGGGTGATGGATGCTCTCCCTGCCACACACCGTCACTACTCCTTATCATGTTTCCCAGAGAGTTTTAAGGAATAATAGTAAGAAGAGACTAAGAAGTGTGAAGAAGAGAAGGAGACAAGTTCTGTAACTGGACAGGTAGATTTCTTTTATCATAGTGATTCTCCAGCCTTTTTCTGGGTGACATGTGTTGAAATGTAGCCACATCTACCTGAAAGTGAGGAAAGGAATTGTGGCTAATTGTGACAATGTCAGAGAGTGAGGAATTGTTTGTAGTTCTGTGAAGACTGATGTCTAAGCTAAGGCAAAAGTGTGGGAATACACACAAATAACATCATAACAATAACACTTGAAAAGTACTTAGGGGAGTTTGCTTCTTAAATATTCAGAAACTTTTTTCCTGAGATGTTCCCTGTTTGGATCTGTTTCTTCAGGGTCACGTGTTGTGCCCTATGGATGGAACAGAGTAAATGGAGCATCAACCATCACTGCACTGGGAAGATGTCTTGAAGGAGCTTGAGTTCTTGGTGTGAAGTGGTGTCACAAGGAAGAAAATCCCAAACCTAGAAACCCACAGAGGCATACAGGAGCCACTGCATTGGATTGAATGACTTTATTCTTTCTGTTGAACTACAGAATCATACAAATACATCTATAGAGGACAGTTCAGGCAACCATTCCCTGCTTCTCTTGGTGCTGGTCATCCTTTCACCGTGGGCTTTCATAGTCAGGACATGTTCAAATGTACTGAATTATGTGACCTGCATGAGACCACCCATCTAGTGCACTGTCTGTGAATCCAGCCCATGTTGCCTTTGAATAGGATTGGGGCAGAAAGGAAGGAGGAGGGTGATCAAAATGAATAGAAACAAATTACCATTCTCAATTTTGTTTGGTAAGCGTGGGCTTGGAGAGGATAATTTACTTCTCTAATTGTTTAAGGAAAACTCTACTTGAATAGGGGAAGAAAAATACCTTCCCAATGGATGATGCTTTTCTGCTAGGTATGTGGTACCATATTATTTATAGTATGAGGAATAAATTCTTGAGTTTCATTGTTCCATCGACAAGTAATAATGACATAACCATGCATGTAAGTAGATTCATAGTCACATTCTGGAATTGTAGTTCCTTCTGTTAACTTACAAAACACCCCCTCTACTGTTTTGTTGCTCATCTTACACATGTTAGTTCCATCACTACATAGTGCTATGAGATTGTAACAGGTCTGTTGCAGCAACTCATAGGATGTTTGAAGAAAGTAATGGTGGTTCATACACCGCATCTTATAATGAACATTTTTGTATTTAGTTTCCTCAGTAAAGTATTGAGGATCATGTAAAGGTCTCCAATCTTCCTCAACAAGGACCATTTTTTCAATTTTTCTTTTGGAAGGTGGTCTTGTAGGCCCTGTACCAAAAAGTTCATATATGTAATTATCAAACTCTTCCTTTGTAAAATTTGGTAAAAGGTAGAAATTTGAGAATGTGCCTTGAAGCTGCATTGGTTGTAGCAGCAGCAGGAACAGCAGAGGCAGTGGGTGCTTGGTGAACAGCATTCTCATCCTTTCTCTTCAGGGACAAAAGAGATAAAGAGAAATATTCTGTTGTGGTAATAAGCATCTTTCTGTTTCCTGTGCAAAGCCCATTTCTACTATTCATCCCTGTTCTGTACTCTAAGAGTTTGGACCATTTGAAAATCATTACAATTGGAAGTTCAGAATTTATTTAGTTCTTATTATAGACAATAAAATAACCTTATCAGATATGTTAGTCCTGAAAACAGTGGATAAGGGAAGGGAAGGTGAAAGGAGAAGGCAACAGAGAGAGACAGAGAAGGATACTGGGAGGGAGTGAGGAGCATGTGAGGGGAAGGGAGGGGAAATGAAAGAAGGAAGTGAGGGCAAGGAGGGAAGAAAGGGAAAAAGAATGATAAGAGACGAGGAGAAGGGCAGGAGGGTAGAAACATGATCGAGACCTCAATGGGAGAGATGAGAGAAGCAGAGGGGAGACGCGCTCCTTTCATTTGGAATACATAGACCTTATCCTGCCTTGGGCTTCAGGATTTGATCAGCAAAGAACCATAGCTGGCCCATCCTCCCCTTCTGGACATTCTGCTGTGATGAGGGAGGGTCTTCAACTTATGATTCTTTTTTCATCTTGCTCACATCTGGTCACAGAGGTCCATAGAGGCCAAATGAATGCTATGCTGAGTTTCTGCCAGGCCTGCTTTTACCTCTCCTTCATTGCCTGGAGCTGATTTATCCATTTTGCAGCCCCATCTGCCTAGTCTTACCACTTAGCCCATCTCTTCCACTAAATTGAGTCATTCAACTTCTGATTTTTCTTTATTTCCCTTAAATAGATTCGTGGTTTTTGTTATAAGTGGGTTTTTGTACCTTCATCCTATCTGCAATTATTATGACCTAATTATGAGAGATTTCATGGTCATGACATTACTTTTTCCCACACTGTATCTCCATATGTGTTCACTCCATGGCAGGCTGCCTAATATTTCCTCAGGATAGTGCTTCATGTGTTTTTGAGCAAGTGTCTTTGTTATAAAAAACTGTAATGCTAAGCAGATGACATACATTTCAAAATAGAAAAGATATATATATTAGTTTGGTACATACAAATGATATATATTATTATGCTGCCTTGTAATAATGATCAATGATTTTTTTTTTTTTTTTACCGGGGATCAAACTCAGGTCCTTGCGCTTGCGAGGCAGGGGGCGGAACCATTGAGCTAAACCCCAGCCCTTGTGATCAATGATTTTTGAAACACTTTTCTCACAGGACCCAGAGTAGTAGCAATATACACTCAAGGAATTCTTTCCAATTGCTTAAACAAACATCAGGGCGTAGTCTATTCTTTAGTAGAAAGTATCATCTTTCATAGATGACTTCTGGGTCTATTCTATTCCTATTCTAAATCTCACTGTTTCTCATTAATTCTCTAAGGAGTCCTTCCTTTCAGAGAAATATGATTACCTACAGGACCTGTCTTTGCTTGTGGCCTCATTACCTCATTCAGTGTACAGTGTGTTCTTCGGAGAATAAATGTTTCAAGGGCTGAGCTTAGGAAATCCTGATACTGGGGCTATCAACCTGCAATGCGAGGAGTTAGGAGAGAAGAATGAATTTGGGCAACTCATAAACACACTGTTGAAGTCAACTGAAAACAAATAATGGTAATGTAGATAACATAATGAGCAGTTACATGGCATGTACTATGTTAAGGACTTTATATATATTATTTTTACCATTTAAATGAACTGAGAATAAAAACATTAATTGTTACTGTTATTAGCATTTCCTCCAACCTAATTTTAACAGTTTAACCCATAAACCCTGATCTACAGGTGATGGGGCTGGAGGTGGAGAACTGTGGCCACTTTTAGATTTGGATTCCTATCTTGTATATAGGAAAGGCCAAAAAATTGTAGAGATTAAGAAAGACGGGTGTTGGTGGCACCCATTGGAAAGTGGAGACAATGGAAAGTTGCAGGAAGTATAGGACTGTAGAGAATGGGCCCGAAAGTAAGAACTAGTCTAAAGTAGACACAGACGGGGCATACTTGTGCAACCCTGCTCATAACCCATTCCTCCATCCCTGCTTTCACACTCCCCTCAGGGTCTCCAACAGAGTCTCCTCAGGAGAGTGGCCCCACTGTGACAGCCAGAAGGCTCAGCACACATCCCCACAATGCAGACGTGGAACCTCTGCAGCATCTTAACTTGGAGAGAACCATGTCAGCATATGCATGACCAGCAGAGTCCTAGGTCCTCTTGCCCTGCCTTTTGTACCTATTAAGGATACATCCAGGAGGTGTTTTTATAAACAATATTTTTAATACCTTGTCTAGAACCTCTACAGTTCCTTAAAAAGCTCAGTGCTGGTGAGGGTACAATAACCTGGCCAATCATGCAACACTGACCACAAAGAATTTATAATGCTTTTGAGTAAAAAACGGTGGCAGATAATTCAAGTTTACAATCCAAGTGCTTCTTTCAGAGCCCTTTAATATCTATAATTCTAAGATGAAGACACAGTAAAAGGGATTTGAGTAATTTATATAGAAAAATGGCAAAAATGTTACCCAAGAGAGAAAATTTTGGAAATGTAGATGCCCAATAATATGTAACAATTAAATTGAGTCTGATATGTTCATAGCAGTAATAATAATACACCAGTAATAATAATTGTGATAAGAGGTAATATTTTTTCAGACAGCTAGTAGTATGTGTTCATGGAATTCTATCTACTTTGAATGGATTACTTACCTGAATTTATAAATATATTAATCAATGAAATTTTTAAAAGATAAGGTATTTTGTGATATAGGAGTAGGACCATCTGCTCAATAAAGAAACCCAAATATATTAACTTAAACACAAGAGAAATTAATTGATTCACAGCAGACAGAAGTCCAAGAAGGACAGCAGGAAGAAGAAATCCAATCCTTCACCTCACTCTGTCCCACACCACTCTATGTGCATGAGTGTAAGAGCCCGCTATGTCACGGCAGAGCCAATCATTGGCACATCTGTAGCCTTATATTGAGGGTCACATCCTCTCCCATCTTCATCCACCATGGAAACAATTCTTCTGATTGGCTTGATTCTGTCTCATGATAATTCAAGGATGTGGGGTCCTCTGATTGGTCAACCTGAAACACATGTTTTTATGGAGAAGTAAAGGCAAAAACCACGCAGTTAAAACCCCAGCAGAATCTCAACTGCTGCCAGAAGGGTTGTTCTCCACTACATAAAAAACAATTGAGACTATTTGTGCATTACGAACAACTGGGGAAAAAAATCAAAACAGTAAACTCTAACTCATAATCCCAATTAACAAAAATTTAGGTTATCTAGGAGAGAAAAGAAAAAAAATCTTAAGGCATTATTTCTTTCAACTAATTTCTTATTCTTATATTTAAAGTTGTCAATTTTATGAATTCAGAAAGAACAAAAATATATCATTAAAGAAATAAACTTTCAAGATCTGGATTAGGCGTGTTCTCAAATAGTAAATGCCAATTTCCTAGAACCTCATAATTTGATACAGTGACCTCTCACTTTTCATCAGCATCAAGAAAAGTCAATTCCTTAGTTTGAGTGGTTGAACACAGATATGTTATAAGTTCTTATATGGTCTCATTTCTTAGAAGAAGGCCAACCTTTTTTAGTAAATCCTAGGGTCTGTGTGGTTAAATTTAGTAAGAAAAGTCTAGGCTTCAGCCAGCTTTAAATTTATAATTTGAAAAAGCATTTTGTGGTAATATTTATGTCAAAAGTTCACACCATACTCTAAATAAGAATTGCGTCAGGCTGAGAAAATCTAGTAGAAAATGTTATCATTGTGGTTAATAAGGGGATTGGTAGGTTCAGTGATACTATGATACTGAAGTGAAGACATTTCCTCCCTTAAGGCCACTGTGATACTTGGATGTCGGAGCTTGCAGCAGGCACACAGAAGAGACATAGAATAAGTTTCTCAATAATTAAAAATCAACCTTCCAAAATAGTCATTTTGTGTCTTATTTTTAAAAATGGAATCAAGCCAACTCTAGGATCACCGAAATTTCATCACAACTAAAGTTTTCTGCAGATTTATTTTTATTCCTTTTAAATTGTATAATTCCACAACATTTTAAAATATTTTGTTAGGTGGATATCTGCTGTATTTTTTCCTGTGAGTCAAAGAGAAATTAGAGGACATAGACTTTAATTCAACTTTTAGTTTTGTTTTATTTCATATTTCAGTCCCTTTCTGAAGTCAGAGATAAAATAAACATTCAATTTGGAAACTTTAAGGTTAGCAATTCTGATAGAATTTTCTTGGTAAAGGATAATAAATATAAGACAATGGATTCCATATCAAGAAAGAATAACATAGATCCCCATATTCATACCACACACAACACCTGAACATATATGTACCTCTCATTTTATTTGGCTTAGACATCAAGATAATTAAAAGAACACCGTACTGAAAACAAAATCTTTTTCATAATTTTGGAGTAAGAAGCATCCTTAATAAACAAGACAGAAGAACTCAGGCACAAAAGAAATTATTGGAACACTAGACTACACATACAAAAACTGAATTACATACCTCTCTGCATAAGAACATGCAACATCACACCAAAAATAAATGACAAAAACACAAAAATAATGGCAAGAACAGAAAAAAAATAAAATTCAAAGATCAATATCTGCTTGCAAAATAAGTAATAAATGAATCAATGAATAAATAAATGACATTGTATAGATAGTACATTATTCGCTTCTCAAATCCATGCCTCGCTACAGATAAAAGATATATTGTGTTATTTTCCTTTTCTCTGCATTTTTTTTACTCTGTACCAGGGATCGAACTCAGGACCTTGAGCTTACAATGCAGGCGCAGTGCCACTGAGCTAAATCCCCAGCCCTCCTTTTCTAAATCCGGCATATCTGCTTCTGAATCATCATTATCGCAGATGACAGGAAAATTAGCATCACTTATTAGTTCAGATCTCCCCTATCTTTCCTATGTAATTCAAAGATTCCAGGG